GGATACCGTTAAACGTTAATCGTTATTTATAAGAGGTAAATGTGTAATGGTAACATTTGCTTCTATTTATCTTGTACGAGGTATGGATACATTTAAATTATTGTCAGATCTTGATTAGGTAATTGAAACTTGCCTTTTTTACATTTTTGAAATCGCTACAGACTCTCTCGAATGCATTTTGTAGATTTCTATTTTCTAAGACTAATGCATTCAAACGTTGTTCGTCGCTTTCTTGTAAACATTTCAATGCGTTCAACTTTAGTTTGAGATTTTTCTAAAACAAAAATATTTTTCCAATTATACACATATTTTACTTTTTTTTATTGTAATTTTATGAAATTACCTCTTCGTCCTGATTACAACATTGCTGGAAAGTCTGCATTAACGGGCGCATTAGATTTTGATCACGTTCTTTGGCGTTCATAGATTTCCTTCGTTCGGAATGCGATTTTGGAGATGTCTTAAGACCAGATGATTTGTATGGGGACGAATTAGTTCTAAGCAAAGATTTTTCCAATTTAATTCATAAATTTATAATAAAAAATACTAAGTGATCAATATACTTTGCACATACAAAAAAAATTAAAGACAAGGTTTTTCCTTGAAAAATAATATTGCCTAATTTATTATATTACATTATACATTTGCCTCATATTATATAACATTGTAGTAGTCAACATTTAACAGTGTCAAAGTACCTGTATATTATAGTTAAGTTCATAATTAAGGCCAAACACTAGTTGTTTCTAATAAATGAATTACGGAAATATGTAAATCATTAACGAAATTAATATAACAAAAATAACTTGCTTACGATTGTACGATATTTGACGATATTTTTTCCAATCCGGCTTTTGAATATTCTTGTTCCCAAAATATGTGATCCATATTGACTGGAAAACCAACACTGGATGATCTTCTGTGTTTCGGTTTACTTGTAACCACACTTGTATGCGAATCTAAATCCATTTCCGATGTGACTGAATTTACTAAGTGTAGGCAAAAAGATATACAACGATATTATATTATAAATTATTTTGGACAAATAACAAAAATCAATAAACATAGAAATAAACATTGGAAATTGTCTGTATGTAACTAATGCAAGAATGTCGTTTAATGAAAATCGATTAGCCAACAGATTATGGAAATTACAAGAGTCAGTGAAAAAACTGAGCGTACATCGATGGATTGAAAAACCCATAGAAGCAGCTGTCAGCATCATACGATAACCTTTGTCAGTGACAGTATAGTAAATCAGTTACTGTAAGAAATAAAGAAACTATTTATTGTAATAAATTAAATAAGAAAGCAAGCGTCGTGGATGAAGTTGATGACAGAACAGAGACCATCAGCAGGAGAGCATAAGTAAGTAGGATATTTGAATCGGAGAAAATGTAGGTATAAAGTAAGTTGGAAAAATCAAAAATAACAATTAAATTTATAATAATTAAATAATTGAAAACTAATTATTTAAAGTAGTATTCAATATTAAATAATGTATTTAGATGTCGGTATTAAAATACCTTTCAAGACTGAATGTTATTTATAATCTATTGATAGTTTTTTTAAATAATTATTATTTACTTAATATTTGATATAAATTAGTTCATATTAAGCTACTCTGGATATATTTTTATTAAATAAACCAAACTAAACAAGATTAATTTGTTCAGTAATTGTCACTTAAATTATTAAAAAACATGAATACATTTTTGGTCAATATAAATTTGCAAATTTACAACTATCTCTTGATTTGAAAATGTCAATAGCCGATAAAAGGTTGCATGGCACATGTTTTATTAATCTGTGTACTTGTTTATATAATATGGCCATTTACTTAGCGATAACCAAGTATCTACAATTAACTTAAAGTTTAAATACCACACAAAAGTGTTCTGAATATTTTAGTACATAACAGCTAGGGGATTTGATTTATCTTTTCAAGACATGTCTAAACAAATTTTTGTTGTTATTTATTGTTTCATTTTTTCTAATAATTACTACATCTTTAAAATTGTTTACTGAAGTCTCTTCACGGTTCTATTATTTTAGTTAAATTTCTTAAGGAAGTAGAACCGAAAAAAAACATGATTACCTTTAATCACACTTTATAATTACATTAAAATACAATAAAACCAAAGTGTAAAAATTTTAAGCGATTATTTATTTCTACTATAACTGATAGGTCTTGAATTTAACATAAAAATAATACCAAAAATAATTAAGTGAAATGTTTGTGATTATTGAAATGACCAGAAGATAATAGGTTGATAATATTAGTTGTTATTCGTGTCCAAATTAGAACTAAGATTGTGATTGTAGCCTTCAAAAGGGCTGTTTTTACTGAAAGGGCAAAGGTAGGTTAGTTAAAGGTACATTTTTAAATTAAATTATGTTTTTTTGTCATTGTAGCTGATTGAATATGAAGAATTAAAAATCATAATATCCAATTGTCAAAATGTGCATTTGTAAGGAGTTTTTTTTATCTTTTAGCTAATAAATCAAATACTGACTTAGAACTCAGAAATACGAATGATGTAGAAATGCTATACACTAAAATATTACACGTTTTTATTAAATAATGAAAAAAAAAAACTCTGTACATTAATTTGATGTCTAGCAGGTATCTTAAGTAGACTTACTTAAGATATAATACTTAATATAATATTATTATTATAAATAATTTATTTCAATTAACAAATAGAGAAAAATAAGTTGTAAATTACTTATACCGGGTACTTATTACGTATTTGTAGTTATAAATTAGTGGAGTTATAATACTGTCTTTATAAAATATTTATTTCAAATAAATAAATAAATTATAGTAGCAAGTAATTGTTATTAATGTGTATTTATTGTTTCGGTCGCGTTGAGTGTGTTTGAATAATTTTCTAAAATGCATTTTAAAATGAGATTTACAAAATAACATAAGAAAATTCTGACTATTTTGTAAGTTGTTTTCAACTTTGGAAGCGATTTCAAAAACAAATTGACGTGCAATGATATGGAAAAACCGCTAAGTATTCAAATATATTTGATAAATTAATTCTATTTCTATTTGATTGTTTAGTTGTTTATATATAATTATTTTGAATTGTATTCATATTTGATGACTACATTATTTTTCATCAATAATATATTATAAATCTTATCTAATTTCACCTTACATTTTTCTTCTTAGTTATTATACTGATGCATATATTGCATTATTATTTTAACAGAAGCTGAAAAGATATGTTCATGACATTAAGTTCTATATGACTTAAAGTGATGTCAGTTTCCATACAATTTGTCTTCTCTTGAATGGTTCGTATATTTATTAAATGGTGACCTTCGTAGGTTTTTTTTTTAAATTGTATCATGATATTATTAACAATGTATTTATGTGCATTGATGGCATTCAATTACATGTCAATCGATTTGGACCGTATTGCATTTCAAATATTTTTTTTTTACGCTATTTTAAAAATATTATTGCTTTAATGAAACTATAATTTCCAATGAATCGGTTTTCGTAGGAATATTATTCTTAAAGTTCCATTAAAAACAGTGTATGTAAGTACTTTTGAAAGGGAAGTAATACTCAAAAACGTTCTCTATCTCCAACTACCTCCGTTCCTGCACACAACTCATTTATATTACTATACACTTTTGTTCCTCTCTATAGTAATTTTATAAAATATTCAATTTTTCTTGCTGTTTTGGGATAAAAGCTATTCAAGTTAAAAAGATATTTAAGTTCAAAACACTATGGTATACTGTATTGGTACATAAATGACGAAATCACAAGAATTACATGTAAAACATACAGCTTAGTTAAATATAATTGATTATTTTAGATGAATAATGGATACTAAAATCCTTGCGTCATCGATTTGTATGGCTGTTCGTACAGTTGGAATTATACGAATAAAATATATGTTTACTCGAAGAATATTTACATATTTTTGTATCTGATGTTCAAAATGCGCAATATGTTTTACTGAATACTATTGCAAGTGTACCACATGTGGCTGTAATCTAGGTTTTAACAAATATCTAGAGCAAATAATTGAAAAACAGAATAATACTATCCGAAATATTAAACATATGTCAAAAAAAAAAAAAATTTTACGCCATAGTAACCTAGATTTGTATTCATCTGAGAAACTCTTAAGTTTTTTTCCCAGCTATGTTTTTCAACTAAGCTTTTTGGCTTCTTTAACATATCTTTAAATTGATCATTCTGCAAATGGGATAGTATCTTTTTTAGAGTAGACGATCGCAAATTTTATTAAGATGACTACTTCATGTAGTCTCTAATTTTATATCTGCTTCCAAAAATTGCAAAAAATTACTATTAATCCCTAAAAAAAACCCTCGTAGCCTTCAAAAATAAAGACGGATAAATACTGCAGTATATAGATTGCACAATACACAGCATTATACTGGTGATGGTATAAAGCTATTTTATACCATCGATATATTATAATAAAAAAAGTTGTGGGCTTATTGGTTTGAGTATTGTTTAATTGACAGCATAACTTTACATTATTCTGATTTGATTTTACAGCAGCGTTAAAAAGTTTTTAAATCTCTACACATTTGGCTGTGTCTTATTGGCTACTTATATGAGCTGGACAGTTTTCCATTATTTTTTTCAATGTACCTATCTCTCTTAGAGCAATTATATTTTTTCCATGCAATTTATTTTTAATATACAGCACTGGAATAAATTAGTAAAACAATGTCAATAAACTGTACGAAAAGTAGGTTTAAAATTATTGTTTTATTGAATCATTTTTTGGAGTAACTTTTAAAACCTCAATGGTAACTTGTATATTTGATTTACCTATGAAATACATAATGATGTCATGAAAATATAAATCAATATATTACTTCATGAAATAGCAATTTTAAATTCGAATAGCGAATATAGATGAGCAAATCGCCATACATTTGTAATGTTTTTATAATTTATTGAGTTTTACAATTGAACAAGTGTTGTTTGGTAACCTTACCTCGCGTTACCGGGCCACGCAAGTTTCCCAACACTAACTCACAAACACTGATATATTATACACTTTTTGTTTTGCAAATTACTTTTGTATAATCGACTTCATCAAGTGGTTGCCTGTTTACAAGCCGAACAGGTAAGTTTGAATATATTTCGTACGAATTCGTTACAAATAATTATCTTATATTTACTAGAATTGTTTTAAAAAATGTGAATCGTATTTCATAAGACATTACTTAGAACTTTGAATTAGAAGAAAATATAACAATACCGTTTGTAGTAATAATTGATTGTGTTTAAAAAATAGTAATTAAATAGAAATACATAATAAAGTGTTTTGGTAGTTAACATAAACGAATTTCCAGTGACTATAGAAACTAATATAATAAATAATGTTACTCACTTCTTAAAATTCACTTTCTGAACTTTTTATTATTTTATAATAAATAAAGCAACATTATAAAATTATTTTTTTGAAAATAATTATGTTATGTGTAATGAAAGTTTTATATTTTTCTGGGATTTGTAATGATTTCAGATTGTAAAAAATATTTTATTACTATTTGCACGACGTGTCAATTGTGTCATGTTGCAAGGTTGGCTTTTTTAGTGAGATTACTGGACTAATAAGAGTACCCTTAGTTCAATATAACTTAATTAAATCTAGTTATTTATTATTAGTAGGAACACTGAAATACTCCCATAGTTCGAATGCTAATAACAGCAATGAACTATAATAGTTCTATAATAAGTTACCATACTATTTGTGAAACTAAACATTTGGAACATCTATTTTTCTAGAAAAACAGCAGAATGAAATTATTAAATATAATAACATATTTTATATATGTTGCATTATGTGTCCTCTCATTCGATCATATTGTCACACAAGCTCGTAAGTAATCAATACCTAACTAGATCAAACTAGAAATGGTGATAGACTTAGATATTGTATAAAATACAATGTAGTATTTAAAGTTGGTCCATTCTTTATAAATTATAATATAATAGATTATATCCATAGTATGTTTGAATTAGCTATCAAAAGCTATAGCTGCCACGAGTACTGAAAACGTTTCAAACAACCTACCATTTTATTGACTTTTAATTAAACGAACAATAACTAAAATTTTCCTTTTCTAGAAGTCCTCAAAGAAGATGGTAATGGTCCATTCAAGAAATCACCTCCCGGTAATTGACAATTTATTATTACAATAAATATTTTTATAAATATAATTTTCATATTATGGTCAGTGCCCATAATATTTGTTTTAATAAAGCCAAATGGAAGTGAATTAAATAATGTTAAAATCGCATTTTACACAATATGAAATGGGATTATGTATTGTCAATAAAAAACAATGCTACGTCTGTTATTTTTAGTACAGAAAATGATAAAATTAATTTTACAATAATGTGTTTTTTTACTAGGTAAACTTGCCAATAAAGATGGTGGCAAAAAAACCGCAACAATTTGAAATGACACACGGCACAACATTTGAATTATGAATATATTATGATCTTTCAAGTAATAACAGAAAAAAATATAAATATTAAAAATGTATCATTGATTTTAGTAAAACAATAAATGTCTTTAAATGAAAATACACTTTTTAGTACACACGAACAGTGATAACTATAAAATATAAACATGTGAAATTTAATATAAATATGATTCAAATTTAATATGCCTATTATTTTTTACCTGTAACTTGGCAGTTGTTTATACAAAAAATGCACATTTACAAAGTGTGATATTGATATTTAAAATTAATTAAAATTGTATTTTAACAAGACCTTTTTCTAAGGAATTTTCCTTCTAAAAAAAATCCTGGTGTTAGAAATATAGTCCAAACTAGTTATCCAAAATGGGTTATCGACCAGTCAAAATATTCAGCAAATTATTCTTAATTTGTTGACTGGTCCATAATCCAATCATTAATTATAATTTCATTGACATTTTATCCATGAACATTCTGTTTTACTTTTTATAAAACTAGAAAGTACGTTTTGAAAAGAATTTTTTCTTTACAAACTTAAGAGACTGTTTAATTTTGTTGGTAAATTATCATTGTAATATAATATTGTAAATAGTGTTTTACATACTTTAAGTTTTTTTTTTTTAAATTTTCAATAATAAAAACTGATTTGAGTATAACTTAACGCCGTAATTTGAAGTTGAAAATTATGTACCAAAAAACTACCTACTAAAAATCTACCAGGAGGTAAAAAATGTTTTTTTATAACAAGCATAGTAATTTTTTTATTGACAGGCAGAATTTCAATTATTTCAATTTCCGAAATACTGCAAGCGCTCTATCAGTAGCAGCGGCAACAAATACTAGTAAATTCGATGGATGTGGTTTAAAGATAAAATCTCATAAGTACACAGGTATAATGTAAAATGTAGGGGACCCGCGACCGACAACTACCGTGGCGAGGTGGAGGGATGAAACTACAGGGGATGACATCAATTTGGATATGAATATGCATTTGGTATATGAAGAGAAATTGAGTCAACTTGACAGTCAGAGCTTATCCAGCCGTCGAAATGCTACAGGACTCGGATGTATTGTTGGCGGCAAGATTTGTTGTAGCACCTTAGCGATTTTCCTTTTAGTAGCCTTTGCTATACCACTTTACGCAGTCAAGTGTATTCCAATGAAATTCAGCATGTTATAGTGTTTCTTACAAAGTGTCTATATTATATATTTAGCCGAGTACATCGAATAAACTTTGTATGTTAAGTTCACGGAACGCGATAATAAACAAGCGGTTGTCACATGAACATTTTAGGCTATTTAAGTATATTTCTCGCTATATTAATATTCGTGGATAGCTAGACTGAATTTATTAAAAATATTTTATTCATATTTTGTATCTTGTTGTACATCTGAATTATTTGATTGAAAACTCAAACTTGTGGTACTATTACATTGTCTTCAGTACCTCTTGAACGTGTTTTGAATGTGGTTAAACTCATAGGTTCATACAATGCATTTTTTAAACAATTTTTTATTCAAAATATCTATTAAAAAAAAAACGTTTTGAAACGGCAATGCGCAGGTCTGGAGACTTAGTGAATAAAGACAGAACCAAGGAAAAACAGTTATGTATGTACCAGGAGCTTATCCAGTCGTGACGCCGCCGAAATGCCACCAGACTCCGGAGAGCATTTGGCGGCAAGTACACGGGTACAATGTATTATATAGCGGACCCGCGACTGACGACTACCGGGGCGGGGTGGAGGGATGAAACTACAGGGGATGAAATCAATTCGCGAGACGGAAATGCGCATGTGTGGAGACTTAGCGAACGAAGACAAAACCAAGGACAAACGGTTATGTATGTACCAGGAGCTTATCCAGCCGTCGAAATGCTACCGGACTCCGGAGAAATTTTGGCGGCAAGATTTTTGTAGTATATTATTATTATTATTAGCTTCATAAGCGGTCAAGAGAGTGCCTGAATACTAATTCTGGTTTGGGATATAGTGTGGGACAATTATGTATTTAAGCTTTCCAAAA